ACACACACACACACACACACACACACACACTTGATTCAGCAGAAGAAATCTAACTCAGTAATAATTAGGACCAGAGACATAAGGTAATGAAAACAAATGACTTTATGTTTTGTTTTTTTTTGTTTGTTTGTTTGTTTGTTTTGCTATAGGGCGCGTGCACTCGCCAGACAGACAGAGAGAGACAGAGAGATAGAAAGCGAGAAATCACCCCCCAGGGGGAATGGTCACACCACAATCCCTTCTCCTCCATTCTCTTCTTGGGACCTTGGGCACGCACGCACACGCGCCTGGTGTGAGCTTAAGCCACCGGGTCCGGGACTCGAACCGCGGTCGACTATGTGGGAGTCCAGCGACATAGCCATTACGCTAACTGCTTGTCCCAACAAATGACTTTATGAAAAATTGGAAAGCAGGGAAGAAAAAAGGAAGTAACTTGTCAGTTTAGAATCTGCTCTCAGAGACGAAGGTAGGTCTGGTTCTTTGGCTGTGGGGAAGGGTAGTCAGGCATGATGATCCCGACCCACTGTAAATCCACCTGAAAAACACGGTTCACTCTCCAAAAGGGATTACAGAAAAACAGCTGACAACACTCGCCGTTGTCTTCGTGTAGGATTGGGGGTTCCAGCCTTGATCTTCAATCGCAAAGCTCACGAGAGTGGCTGATCTTCTCCTCTGCTGCTTCTGTGGTTCACGTGCAGCTTTTCCCTTTCAGGTTCTACATCGAGAGCATTTCGTACCTGAAGGATAACGCCACCATTGAGCTCTTCTTTCTGAACGCTAAGTCCTGTATCTACAAGGTAGGAACTTTTTCATCCTGGTCAGTTTCCCTTTGAAATCTGAAAGGGCCGTGTAAAGCTGGAAATCCAAAGTGGTTTCCCTAAGGAGATTTTATTGAATAAGAGAAGTAGCTTATAAATGAGTGATTATAAATCAATGAGACCTTTATGAAATGAAAGGCATCAATCAGCCTAATAATGTGACTCCTGATCCTCTTGCTGCATTTCGGGCTCTATGGAGGTGTTCCTTAAACTGATTTTAAAGATCTCTTTGTCAATCGAGAGGAAAGGGAAAACTAGATAAGTAGGACAAACGCACTCATCAACTTAGGTCTCAAAAGTACAGAAGAACTTCTTATATCCAACTATGTATGCATGTGACCATTCTTTTTTAGAACATCTTTTTTTCTTTTTTTTTCTTTTTTGGAGAGGTTTTTGCTATAGGGCACGTGCGCTCGCCAGACAGACTGAGAGAGACAGAGACAGAAAGTGAGAAATCACCCCCCAGGGGGGATGGTCACGCTGCAATCCCTTCTCCTCCATTCTCCTCTCGGGATCTTGGGCACGCACGCACACGTGCCCGGCGTGAGGTTTAAGCCACCGGGTCTGGGACGCGAACCGCGGTCAACTACGTGGGAGCCCAGTAACATAGCCATTATGCTAACTGCTGGTTCCCTTTAGAACATCTTTTAACCCTTTTTTTGCGGGGGAGGGGAGAGGTTTTTGCTATAGGGCACGTGCGCTCGCCAGACAGACTGAGAGAGACAGAGACAGAAAGTGAGAAATCACCCCCCAGGGGGGATGGCCATGCCGCAATCCCTTCATTCTCCTCTCGGGATCTTGGGCACACATGCACATGCACCCGGCGTGAGTTTTAAGCCACCAGGTCCAGGACGTGAACCGCGGTTGACTACATGGAGTCCAGCGACATAGCCATTATGCTAACTGCTGGTCCCAATTTTTAATCCTTTCTTTACAGGTTACCTAGACCACTTTTGATTAAGAAAACTGTAATAAGTTAGTCATTGCCACAAGCGAACACAAGGCGATAGCACGTGTCTATTTTCTGCATAGTCCTGCTTTGCGGGGTGTCTGAATGTACTGCTCAGGGTCTCTGCTCACACTTGCCAGAATCAATCATGTCAGATTTTAGTCCACAAGTCGCTTTTCCCCAGATTTCTTTGTAAACTCTTCAGCTTTCTTACAGAATGTTTTACAGTCCTTATAGTATTCTTCAGCTAGGTCAGCCCGGAGGGGGTGCTCAGACTGCAGGTCGTTCACTAGCACTATGAGGGACTGGATTACTTGGTCAGTTTTGGTGGCTGGCTTCCTGTTTCCAGCACTGATTACTGGCAGACAGACCTGCCCCTTTTTATTGATGTTCGGGTGATAGATCTTTGTTTTAAATGTGATCTTCGGTGGTTTGAATGGGTACTCTGCTGGAAAGTTGATTTCGATTCTGAAGCTCCCTTGTCATATGGGAGGGTTGTCAGGAACAATAAGCCATTGCCAAGTCAATAAATTAGCTTCCTCAGCCTGGATGTTATGGAAGTTTTTCATTCCACATTTGTGGATTTCTTCAAGCTCCTTCATCAGCCTCCTGCTGGCCACCATCTTGGATCTGGTGCTTGCATGTGACCATCCTTAGATGACTGAGCAGTGCTATCCAAAGGGATGCTTTCGGCACTTTGGTTGAGATTTTTTAAAAAGTTATGGTAGGGAACCAGCAGTTAGCGTAATGGCTGTGTCGCTGGACTCCCACGTAGTCGACCGCGGTTCGCGTCCCGGACCCGGTGGCTTAAAACTCACGCCGGGCGCGTGTGCGTACGTGCCCAAGATCCCGAGAGGAGAATGGAGGAGAAGGGATTGCGGCGTGACCCTCCCCCCTGGGGGGTGATTTCTCACTTTCTGTCTCTGTCTCTCTCAGTCTGTCTGGCGAGCGCACGCGCCCTATAGCGAAAAAACCTCTCCAAAAAAAAAAAGTTATGGTAAAGGGCCAGCAGGTGGCATGGTAGTTATGGCACTGGATCCCGCATGGCCCACCATGATTCAAATCCTTGACATGGCAGCTGGAAAATCACTCCAAGTTCATGTGCATGTGTGCCCAAAAATCCCAGGAGGAGAAGGAAGAAGGGATTTCAGCGTGGCCATCCCCCCTGGAGGGTGATTTCTCATTTCCCCTCCACTGTCTTTCCCTGTCTCTCTCTAGCAAGCACATACGCCCTATAGCCAAAACCTAATATATGTATGTGTATGTATGTGTGTACATGTATATATACACATGTGTGTGTATTAACCTAATGTATGTGTGTATATATTAAAACCTAATATATGTATATATATATACTCATATGTGTAGGTGTGTGTATATATGTATATATAGTAAAATACACACACATATGTGTGTGTGTGTATAATAAAATACAAATTTACCATCTTAACCATTTTTAGGTGTAGAGCTCAGTAGCGGTAAGCACGTTCCCACTGGTGTGCAGCCATTACCATCATCCATCTCTAGGACTCTGCTCATCTTAGAAAACTGAAG